TTTTGCATTAGTACATAATACACGCCTCATTCCTTTAAATACTGTTAGTGTACTTCTAAAAAGTTATTAGCCTTTTTTTCTTTGAGTTGGAGTCTTACTCTGTCACACAGGCTGGTGTCGAACCCGTGGGCTCAGGCAGTCCTCTCACCTCAACCTCCCAAAGTGCTGGGATTACAGGCGTGAGCCACCGCATCTGGCCATTAGCCGTGTTTTATCGATGAGTTTCCACCTGACTGATGCATCATTGCTGGCTTGAAAGAGTCTCCAAGTACTGCTTTTATGTTTATTATTGACCAGGAAATGTGGATTTGGAACTGGATTAGTGGGAAAGGGTGAAGAGTTTGGAGTATGCCTGTGTGTAAGAGAGAGAGCTGCAGCCACTTTCTGTCCTGCTGATACCTTGCCCTTCTGTGCCTGGGTTTGGGTCCTACTCCTGCTGGCAGGGTCACTTTCCGTGCCAGGCCCCAGCCCCTCTTCCCTTTTAAAGATGGTGTCTGCTCTCTTGCCCAGGGTGAAGTATGGTAGTGCAATCATAGCTCACTGCAGCTTTAAACTCCTGGCCTCAAGTGATCCTCTTGCCTTGGTCTCCCATGGGCTGGAATTACAAGTGTGAGCCACTGCACCTGGCTCCTGGTCCCTTCCACTAGCTAGGTTATTTCCCACTTCTTGACCATTTACTCCTCTGTGTGGGATTCTCAGTAGCAATAGGCCAGATACCATAAGCAGAGCATACCCTCCTCACCAAGCAGGCCAATCTGTTTCAAGGAAAGAGATGCTAGGTCCCTCCCTATGGAACAGGGAGGCTAATATTCAGTTTTGTTGGGGGGTAACCTTCAGTACAGAAGAATGTCCATTTTGAATCAGGAAATTCACTGCTAGTCCTTGATGACTGGGACTGGCCCTGCAGATACAATAGAAAGAGCCACCTGTTGTCTTGGCAACTGGCTTTCAGGATCGTCTGGTCTCCTGGTAACCCTTTGCAGACTGGCCTCCGTGCTTTCCCTGGAGGGCCCTTCCCTGCCTTTCTCCTCCAGCTTTGAGACCTCAGGAGGAGGAGAGCCCAAGGAACCATGGAATGATGTGAGGTTTGACATTTTTGAACCAGCTCTGAGTTTATGGATGAGGTGGTGGGTGAAGATCTGGAAAGGAAAAATCAGGCTGTAGAGAAAGAAAGACAAGTTGTTCCCCACCCTTGTATCTACAACACACAAGCATTGGATCTTTTTTTTAGTTACTGTTACATTCCCACTCTTGGTTTTTGTCTGTCCTCCTGAAGCTTGTCCGGAACTGACTTATGACTTGTATATGGCCTGTAGAGAAGTGAGGTACATAGTCTCTCCCAGCGAGGAAGATGATGGCTGGGCAGCATCTGATGTGAGGGTGCTGGCTTATCTGGGAGTTCTGCTCCTTCTGATGTCATAAGAAGGCACTGCTGCCTTAGATAGCATAGGCCCCCAGTTAATGTATGCAATGTGGGAAGTCAGGCTGCGGGCCCTTTCAGACCAAGCCTTGAGATACATAAAAATGAAGAATTTTCTTTTTTTTCTTTTAAGTCAGAGTCTCACTGTCGCCCAGGCTGGAGTGCAGTGGCAGGCTCATGGCCACCACAGCTTTGACCTACTGGGCTCAGGTGATCCTTCTGCCTCAGCCTTTCAAGTAGCTGGAACTACAGGCACATGCCACCTTGTGGAGACGAGGTCTTGCCATGTTGTCCAGGCTGGTCTCAAACCCATGGATTCTGGCAATCCTTTCGTCTCCACCTCCCAAGGTGCTGGGATTGTAGGTGTGAGCCACCGCCAAAGAACTTGGCCCCGCCAAAGGACTTTCAGGGAAGTGAACCGCCATGTAGGTTGGGACAGAAAGAATCTTGTGCTGCCACTGTAATTGGATTCCAGCTTTCTATTTACTGGGGGTTGGCATCCCTGGAATTCAACCCAGCTGTTATATTCATGCTAATTTGATGTTATTTGTCCCTAGGAAAGCCAGTAGGTTAGCCTTTCAGTTACCTGCTGGAAAGAAAACATGCTGAGGCTAAGACTTACTGCTCTTTGTTTCCCTCTACCTTCTGGGTGGCTTCTCTTTCACTTTCTTAGGTACTTGAGCATCCTTTTGCATGTTAGCCATGAAGGCCAGTGAGTCACCATGGGAAGGAGGTTCTCAACCCTGCATTGCCTGGACCAGGTAGTGAGAGTGTTTAGCGAAGAAAATAAGGTCATTCCTGGCATTAAGAACATTGAGATGATATTAATTATAGCGGCTGACATTTGAAAGCTCAGTCTATGCCAAGTGTTCTACACAGGTCACCTCCTGTGATCCTCACGGTGTTACCTATTGAGCGAGGTATTGCTGGCATTCCTTTTTTTTTTTTTGAAGTTGGAGTCTCACTCTGTCACCCAGACTGGAGTGCAGTGGCTGCTTCCGGCCACTGCAACCTAGACCTGCTGGGCTCCGGCGATCCTCCCGCTTCAGCCTTCCAAGTAGCTGGAACTACAGGTGCTCACTACCACACCCAGCTAATTTTTTATTTATTGTAAAGATGAGGTCTCTCCAACTTGCCCAGGCAGGTCTTGAACTTGTGGGCTCAGGCGATCCACTCACCTCAGCCTCCCAAAGCGCAGGATTACAGGCTGAGCCACCGAGCCCGGCTGGCATTCTCATTTTATAGATAAGAAAATTGAGGCACAGTGTGCGCAAAACTGCCAAATATATGCTGAAATGAGTTGGGGGATCCTCATGTTTTATTTATGCAGATTTTCCATTGAGTTTCATGCTATATCCTTGTTTTTTGCTTTTTTTTTTTTAAGTTGGGTAATCTCACTTTGTTGCCCAAGCTGGAGTGCAGTGGTATGATTATGGCTCCACAGCCTCAACCTCCTGTACTCAGGCAATCCTTCCACCTCAGCTGAGTAGCTGGGACTACAGGCGCCACTACACCTGGCTAATTTCTGAATTTTTTGTAGAGATGATGTCTCTCTGTGTTTCCTAGGCTGTTCTCGAACTCCTGGGCTCAAGTGATTTTCCTGCCTTGGCCTCCCAAAGTGCTGGGATTATATGCGTGAGCCACCATGCCAGGCCTCCTATTTATTTGTATAAAAGTAACTTCCTCTCTAATCTCTCAGTAAGTTGATGTGTTAGGAATTTAATGCTCTGTTTTCCCACCAAGTATCCCTAGAGTGCCATGCATATACTTGTTTGAGAGTTATCAGTAATTTGACCAGTTAGGGAGTAGTCAGCCTTAAATTTGAGAGGGCTGGTGGACATGGGATGCAGCCCAGGGCAAGACCAGGACCAGGAGAGGAGGGTAGGGGTGTGTGGGGGTATGATCAGTGTTGGACACTTTGTTCCATAGGTTCTAGGGAAGTTCCTGTTAGGGTGTTTGCCGGAATTTGGAGCAGGATGCAAAGATAGGAAACTTCTCTCACAGTGTTTGTCTTCTAGTTTGAAAGGAGAAATACACACCACAGGTCCATGGCTTTGTGCCCTGCCTCATTACTCAGTGTCTGGTTCAGAGAATGTAGAGAATAGTGTGCTTGGGAAGGCTTCATTGGAAGAGGTGAGACCAGAATATCCCTGAAGGCAGGCTGGATTTAGAAGGAGGAATGGCCGGCTACTCATCGCTTCTCATTCATATGTGTATATTTATTTGTGCTCACTCTCTGCAGAATTACCCCCAAGGACAGGACATACACGTGTTAGGATTTGCCAACCTGTTTCTTTGTTGGTCTGAGTCAGGGTTGTCCATGGTCTTCCGTTGCCGACAGATGTGCCCTGACGCCTGTGTCTTTACTGGCAGGATCTGAGCATGAATGCCCTTGACCACTGCTCTGACCTGACTCTGCCTTACTTCCTAAAGGAAGTAGCATCTTGTCCTTTGGTTTTGGAGACTTTCCCCTCTCCTTCCCCCTCGAAAGGTGCCCGGCTTCCTTGTGTGGAGAGACTGATGGTTAGAGGCTTGGAGAAGCATATTCTGAGTGACTTTCAAAGCCTGGAAAGCCAGTTTCTGTGATCAAGCTGAAGAACACTGTTTTTTTTTTTTGAGTTGGAGTCTCACTTTGTTGCCCAGGCTGGAGTACTGTGGCACACTCATGGCCACTCCAGCGTCAACCTGCTGGGCTCTGACAATCCTTCTGCCTTAGCCTTCCAAGTAGCCAGAACTACAGGCATGCGCTACCACACCCGGCTAATTTTTGATTTATTGTAGAGATGAAGTCTTGCCAGGTTGGCCAGGCTGGTCTTGAACCCGCGGGCTCAGGCGATCCACTTGTGTCGGCCTCCCAAAGTACTGGCATTACAGGCTAAGCCACCGAGCCTGGCCAACACTTTCAATATAAAGTAATGAGTGGGAACAAGACTAGAAAAAGAAGCTACTTTCAACAGAGAAATTTCAGTGTTTCACAAATACTGTATCTTTTGTCCTGGCATTTATTCCGGCCATTTGCTGTCTTTTAGGTTGGTAGGGTTGATGGTGACTCCCACGCCCTATAATAACCCTTCCTTGATTTCTGACTGCTGACATTTCTCCTGCATTGAGATTGTTTTGTGGGCCTAGTAAAGTCCAAGTGAGTGCCTGCAGTTAGGGCTGGGATCGAAGCCCAGGAAACATAAGTTCATTTCTGGGCTCTGCCCTGACTCAGGAGCCAGCTCGAATCTTGGTTTCTTTGTCCCGACTTCATAAAAGGGAGTGAACATTAGTCAGCATTTGTGATGGTCTTGAACAGAAGCCTGCGTGTGCAAGGTGTGTGTTACCTCCCAGGCAGTTAGCAGAGACAGTGATTTTGCTTACTCAGCCTCCTGGGAAATGTGCAGCTCTTGAGGTTTTCTGTGAGGATTGGCCAGTTGGGTCAAAAAGGTCATGGGGAAGGAGCAGACATTATTGGGTCTTTGGCTGTGGTGCTTGTAGGACATAGGCCAGCAGGGAGGGCATCTTAGAAAGGTAGGCCGTGGAGGGGCTGTGCATGGGTGCTCCCTAGTGCCAGCGTGTGTCGCCTCCCTTATCACAGGCTCTGAGCGACCGGTTCAGTGGGGAGATCCCCGACGACCAGATGGCACACAGCTCCTTCTTCCCGGATGAGTACTTCACCTGCTCCTCCCTGTGCCTCAGCTGCGGGTAAGTGAGGCCAACTGCTTCTGCCTTGGGGATCGAACTTTGGAAGGGTGCATGCACATATCCTCGGGGCTTGCTGAATTATGGGCTGTGATTTAAGTCATCTGGGGTGAGACCCGGGAGGCTGCATGTCCAAGTTCCCACAAGATCCTCGTGGTCTGGAGCCACAATTTGAGGCTTTGAGAATATGAGTTTGTGAAGAGTTCCCTGTGAATTCCAATCTGGGATGGATGTGAAATGGACTAACTTCTGGCTTAGGCAGATTTTATGGCAGAAAACTTTGAGTTGCTTGCCTTTCTGAGTTTCTTCTACCAGGGCTTTCAGTAATTTATTCATTTCCGTTTATTGAGCTAATATTGGAGGCTCTCCCTACTCCTCCTCAAAGTGCTGTGTCTAGGAGACTCTTTTCACTATGAAGGCAAGAAGAGCACATTAGAATTTTTCCAGGGAGCTTTTGAAATTACCAAGGCCTGAGCTCACCTCTGGGGAGCCTCATGTAATAATTGTAAGTGGGGGCCTCTGCCTGGGTGATTTAAAGGGCCTTCAGAGGACCCGCTGTGCAGCCCGAGTTGAGAGCATTGAGCTGACCGGAACGTTTCACACCCAGGTCTGTGCGGGTCACCATGAGATTCTGTTAAAGTGCTGATTTGGAATCAGCAGGTGTGGGTGAGGCCCAAGATTCTGCATCCCTGATGGGGCTGATGGTGCCTGCCATGTGGGTCTGTGAACCCACTGTGTTGTGGAGGGTTAGAGCAGTGACTCCCAGACTTCAGCATGCACCTGAAAAGCCTGAGTCAGGTTGCTAGGTCTGAGAATTTGCATTTTTAGTGAATTTCCAGGTGATGCTGATATTGCTCATTCGGACACTTTGAAGATGGCTGGAATCGTTTGAGCTCTTGATAGCTGTTCTGTCATGGCCTGGTGACACGTATGATGCTCTTCAGGGGTCTAGGTAAAGGGTGTCCAGGTGCAGTTGTAGTCTCCATGTCCTTCAGACAGTCTTCCCACCCCCTGGATTGTCTTGGCTCCTGTCAGGTCTACTGCCTGCATCTCTTCCCTTCCCTCCTGCAGGAGGAGACCCAAGCCTGCTTCAGTTGGGATGGCATTTTTGCTGTGAGCCCTGTGGGCCACCTGCTGCATGCTGGCCCTCCTCTGACCTGGCATGTGGACTCTGTAGTCTGGGATGGGGACACGGAGGCCTATCTTGGAGAGTTCAACTTGGAAGGAGTTGGGGAGCTGCCAGTGGATTTTTGTTGTCCTTTCTGTTTGCCCTGAGCCTGGTGTGAGGGACTGAGGACTGTTGGTTGGATCATTGCTTTTCCGTTCTGAGTCTCATCAGATTTCCAGAACTTTCCTCTCATCGTGGTGAAATTCTATAACTCTGATCTCTATTGTGCACTATCAGGATCGCAGGGCTCACTGTGGAAGGCCTTCTTGTTCCATGTAAGCCTGCCCGTAACACGTTGCTAAACGTTTGGGGCTGGATTTTGTTTTACTTGGTGTCTGTTCTGGCTGAACTTTCCATTTCATCCTGCTGGGGTTTTTGAGTTTTTTGAGAGCCATTCAGGTTTCATCTCTGGTCGTGTTGGTATCTTCTCCTCCATGCCTGCTGAGGGACAGGCAGTTTTTTCCAAGAAGAGATTCCTTTTCCTCTGGGTCCTCATGCAAGGGTGACAGTTGCCCTGCCTCTGCAGTGCTGTTGATTGCAAGAGTGACAGGTGTGTGGGTGTCCGGGATGAGCACTCAGATAGTGGGTGCTCATCGTGCGAGGCCCAGTTAGTGACCAAGATCTGGGCTTGACCTGTGCCTGGCCCAGGGCCACAATGCTCTGCTGAATAACTAGTAGCAGTGGCCGTCAGCCATGCCATCACCATTCTTTGGGCTTCTCTCAGGGTTGGGTGTAAGAACAGCATGAATCACGGGAAGGAAGGAGTGCCTCATGAAGCCAAGAGCCGCTGCAGCTACTCCCACCAGTACGACAACCGTGTCTATACCTGCAAGGTAAGTCCCGAGCAGCCCCCATCCCCACTGCTGCCGCGTGCGCCTTTAGGCAAGACTGCCTTGGGGCTGCCTTTGGCTACACTCTAAATATCTTTGGAACATCTTTCCAGCTCTGCCCTAAATGACTCACATGTCTTCATTGGTGGGGTCCCCCTTCACTCATACTTTAAGCTCAGGTCTCCCCATTTTGTTGACTGTGTGTGTAAGGGTCACTTAAATCAGCCATTTATTCCTCCTAAGCACATACTTGCTCTCAGGAAACTAGTTTTGATTGATTTTTCCATGACAGGTGTGTGATTTGGGACTTAGTGTTTGGGCTTGGATGGATGTGCACCCAGGCATGTAGGCACTGGTGTCTATAGGGAGTGAGCCTCCTCCTGAGTGCTGAGGCAGGTCTGTACCCCTCAGCTGGCTGTGTGGGAGTCATGCTGGGCAGGCCGGTGGAGGCATGGGGTCTGGTGCTCAGAATGAGCTGGGCTGCTCTGTTCCAGGCCTGCTACGAGAGGGGCAAGGAAGTCAGCGTCGTGCCCAAGACATCTGCTTCCACTGACTCTCCCTGGATGGGTCTTGCCAAGTATGCCTGGTCCGGGTGAGTTTCTGTAACATGACTCTTGGGTTCTGGTATTGCTACCCGGGTGCCTGGCATGACAGTGCATGTCTCTGCCTCTTGCCAGGTACGTGATTGAGTGTCCCAACTGTGGTGTGGTCTACCGCAGCCGGCAGTACTGGTTTGGGAACCAGGATCCCGTGGATACAGTGGTGCGGACGGAGATTGTGCATGTGTGGCCGGGAGTAAGAGCTGTTTCATTTGTTTTTCTCTTTTCTGGGATCTTTTGGTTACTTGGGTATGTTGGAAGGGGTCTTGTTTAGAACCCAGACTCACTGTGAGTGCCAGCATAGTGGTGGGGTCAGCGGCCGCCCCGGGGAGCTTTTCTCCTTTAGACCCTTAATCGCTTTTATTTCTTCTTGCATAAGTGTTAGAAGCACAGCTTTAAATACAATGAACTGAAATATAATCTGTATATCTTCTTTGGCAAATAAAACTTAATTTTTTATTCTCATTCATTTTCTGTATGTATAGGTTTTGTAGATGCAATTACAATATACATGCTATCTTCCTGAAACATAATTTTATTTTGTCTTATTTCTACATTACTTCCATTTTTCATGACTCCCATCTGTGGTCACAGTGTAATGTTCTGTCCAGTGGTGTAGCTGGAGTCACCATCCCTTCTTTCTGGACATTCATGTTGTTTATGAGATTTTTACTATCAAAGAAAAGGCTGTAGTGACTGTCTTCATGTACGAAAGCTATTTCTTTCTTTCTTTTCGAGACAGGGTCTTATTGTCACCCAGGCTGGAGTGCAGCTTCAACCTCCTGGCTTCAAGTAATCCTTCTGTCTCAGCCTCCTGAGTAGCTGGGACTACAGGTGCATGCCACCATGCCAGCTAATTTTTTTAAAATTTCAAATTTTTTATAGAGACAGGGTCTCCTAGACTTTGCCTCCTAGACTGATCTCAAATTCCTGGGCTCAAGTGATCCTCCTGCCTCAGCCTCCCAAAGTGCTGAGATTACAGGTGTGAGTCACTGTGCCAGGCCTGTTTTGTTGTTTTAGGAAATTTTCTTGAAGCTTATTCTAAGAAGTAGGATTACTGTAGACTCTTACTGGTTTTAGGTTTGACTTTTGAATTCAGGATGTTGGAAAAGCACACCTGTCTGTGAGGCAGTAATGTGCAGCTTTTATTCTGTGGCAAATCATAGTTCACACTTCCAACTGCCCATGAGTCACAACAAATCCAACATCGTTTCCCCATATGGAAAAGGCAAGTAGTTTTCTCTAAGGGACTTCTTTTATTCTGTTCCTGTCTTTGCTGGGCAGTTCGGCCTGGAAATCCTTCCTTCATACCCACTGTGGTGCTTTCCTTGATCCTACATGTCCCATCAAACTGGATAGTTCCTTAAAGTGAGAAAGTATAGTGGAGATTTGGTTTATATTCCAGGAACACAGTACTATGGGAGTTTACTTAGGCTGTGTTTCTCGTAGTCCTTGGGATTAGGAGAACACAGGCACTTCCCCATCTGTTTGCTCACTCATTCATTCACTCATTCATTCATATTTCAGCATGTGTTGTTGAGTACTTTATGCCTAGAATTAAGCTTGTTACTTTACAAAAATGAAAAAGATAAGTTGTTCTTCTCAGAGAACTCACAGCTGAATAGGAAGTCATATACATAAATAGATGTTGCACAACACAGAGAGATAGGATTCCTGGAGATGTACGGTATTAGAGAAACTGAGAGGAAGTGCTCCAAACCGAGCCTGGTGGGGGGACTTCCTGAGGAGGTGTGATATCCTGTATCTTATGGGCAGAGTGGGTCCTAAATTGAACAGCCACGTGTGAGGTCTCAGGGTCACCCAGAATAGAATAAAGCAGAGAGAATTCTGCTGTCTCCATGCCCCCCTGCCAGGGACTTCATGGTTCTGAGTTGGCTACGGTGAGTGTGCTCACCAGAGACCCTCACCCCGCTCCTTGCTCTCTTCTCCGGGTGTGATGGGGGCCTGTGCTTTCACTGCAGACTGATGGGTTTCTCAAGGACAACAACAATGCTGCGCAGCGCTTGCTGGACGGGATGAACTTCATGGCACAATCAGTATCCGAGCTTAGCCTTGGGCCCACCAAGGCCGTGACCTCCTGGCTTACTGACCAGATCGCTCCTGCCTACTGGAGGCCCAACTCGCAGATTCTGGTATGGTGTGTAGGAGCCCAACGTGCCCCAGTGGAGCTGGCTCTGGGGGAGGGGAGGGCAGATTCACCTCATTCCCACTGCTATCCTTGTCATTCTGCATGCTTTCCTTGTGGTGGGTTTTCTGTTCTGCCTGTGAGGGCCAGTTGAGATTGCTTGGGTTTCTGAGGTCTGGGGAAAGGAGCCCCTTTTGGGGTCATGCTGGATCCATCAAGCTCTCCAGCATCCCTGCTAGGTAGCCCCAGCTTCAACCCAAATGCTCCATGATAGGAAACCCACTCCTTGCTAGGCCTCTTTCTACTCCCAGATAACTTCTGTCACTAGAAAGCTTTTGTCTGTAGTGAGCTCAAGCTGCTCTCCCTTAGTTTCTGTTTGTTCCCTGGATCCTGCTGACCTTCTCAGCTAGTGGGTGCACACCTCACCTCCTCTCTGTTTTGTTGGGGTGAAACAGAGCTGCAGCAAGTGTGCGACGTCCTTTAAAGACAATGACACCAAGCATCACTGCCGGGCCTGCGGGGAGGGCTTCTGCGACAGCTGCTCCTCCAAGACCCGGCCAGTGCCTGAGCGGGGCTGGGGCCCTGCGCCCGTGCGGGTGTGTGACAACTGCTACGAGGCCAGAAACATCCAGCTCGGTGCGTGGGTCTGGGGAGCCACGAGGGTGGAGGGGAGAGTCTGGAAACAGGGTGTTGGGAGCTGGGCACCCACATGCCCCAGCCCATCTGTGACCATAGTACCCGCTGAGAGCATCTCTTCTGGGTATAGCCAGTCACCCCAAACTCTTTGCAGTGCTGTTCCAGGGCACTGGCTGAAGAGGCGATTCTGGGAGGAAATAGACACACAGCCGCAGAATTCTGAAAAGGCTGCAGTGCTTGCCAAAGATGTTGTGACCGAGCTTCTCCTTGGAGGAGGTTCTGGCACACCCCAACAGCCTTTCTACCTTAAAGGTTGTAGAAAAACCCCAAAGGGTTGTAGGTGAAAGGCTGATAGATGTCACCCAGTTTCAGGGTCTGGGCTGACCTGACCCCATCCAGGCCCTTGCGATAGTTGCAGGACAGTGCAGAGGTGCCCTGGGAGAAGCATCCGATTGTCCTGCCCCATCCCAAGTCTTCCATTTGGGAGATATTTAGAGGTGATGGCTTTCCCTTTGTCATTGTATGCAGACGTCACTGAGGTACAGGCTGATGATGAGGGTGGAACCCTGATTGCTCGGAAGGTGGGTGAGGCTGTGCAGAGCACCCTGGGCGCAGTGGTGACAGCCATCGACATACCACTAGGTGAGCCGGCAGTGCTGCTCTGTGTGGTGGATGGGGGATGAGGGGTTTTGGGGTGCCCTGTGCTGTCGCTTTGTCGAGGGCTTGCCAGCGTTGGTTGTGTTGGGCAGCAGAGGACCCATTAGAAATGTACCTCCGCTGCTTTCTCTGAATGTCCTGTTCTGTGCCTGCTCCAAGGCCGTTTTCCTACCCCATATAGTGCCGCAGCAGGGTCTCCCTGAAACGTAAAGCCTGCTGTGAGCGACAAATGCCTTGTGATAGGGATCTGGAGGAGAGTCAGGTCATTATTCTACTCCATGTGACTTTGCCTGGAGTTGCCTGATATTCCAGGGTGGCAGCTGGGCTGGTCTTGCGGGTCTATGCTGACCTCATGTGTGTGCTGTGTGTCTTGGCAGGGACCATTGGAAGGCTGGGTTCTGAGGAGACTTCTCCCTCTACGTACATTCTCCAGGCCTCTCCATGGTTTTTGTAGGGGCTGCTGGTGGCTCAGGGCTCAGAGAGCGAATGTTCCAAGAGACAGGAAGTAGAGGCTGCCAGGCTCTCAGGCCTGGGTCTGCACATGGGCACTCCTGCCGTTGTCTCCAGTCTGCTGTCATCACAGAGCCTGCCTAGATTTCAGGAGGGCAGGAATGTCACAGATGGAAGGCGGGTCAAAGAACAGTGGCCGTCTTTAACCTGCCACCTCAGCCGGTTACTGCTGAAGATTTGAGGTTGCCTTAGCTCTGGATGTGAGGGACCTTGTAGCCAGAATGGGAGGAGGGGGAGAGGAAGAAAACTCCTGTGTGTGGGCATAGGCAGGGTTGGCCAGGCCCGGGGTTCTTTGACCACTGGATGGGTGGTGATGGAAATCACCTGTATGAGATGAAACAATTGTGGCTCACAGAAGGAGCAGGCGAGAGGGGCTTGCTGCTCAGGCCAAGGCTCAGGTTTGAGGGGTGAGGGCTGCCCTTGACACAGATGGCAGAGCATGACCAGAGTGTGGCCATTGCTCACCAGGTGTTCAGAGCACTGGCTATTGAGTCCTGGCCAGAGTGTGGGACAGCTCTTGAAGGCAGATTGTTAAGGATGCATGAACCCCTGAGAGGTTGCAGAACTTCTTGGAATCCTGCGGAACTGGGATTTGAACATCTGGCTCCAGAGCCCAGACTTCTTTTTAGTTCTTCTGTGGTTCTCTGCGTAGCTGCCCGTTGACCACCTGGAGAGCTTTAGAGATAGGTACATATCAAGGAGACAGGCATGGTAGCTCACATCTATAGTTCCAGCTATTTTGAGGCCGAGGCGCAGGATCAAGCCTGTGCTTGAGCCCAGAAGTTCAAGACTAGCCTGGGCGACATGGTGAGGGCCTGTCTTTAAAAAAAAAAAAATCAGTGCCTAGGTCTATGCTCAGAGATTCTGATCTGGGCGGTAAGTGGTGGAAAGGCTGGATATCTGCATTTTTTTTTTTTGAGTTGGAGTCTCACTTTGTCACCCAGACTGGAGTGCAGTGGCACGCTCCCGGCCACCGCAGCCTCGACCTGTTGGACTCTGCCGATCCTTCCGCCTCAGCCTTCCAAGTAGTTGGAACTACAGGCGCCAGCTACAATGCCTGGCTAATTTTCGATTTATTGTAGAGACGAGGTCTCACCAAGTTGCCTGGGTGGGTCTCGAACCTGCGGGCTCAGGCAATCCACTTGCCTTGGCGTCCCAAAGTGCTGAGATTACAGGCTGAGCCACGGAGCCTGGCCTGACATCTGCATTTTAAAAGCCCTGTTGGTGGTTCTGTGTGCAGTTGGCAGTTGGGGTCACCAGCCGGTCAGTGTCTGAGGATGTCTTCCTGCTGGTTGGGATTTGGGGATCTCAAACTTGCTCATGTGTCGGGGTCCCTGTAGACCTCTACAAATGCAGATAGCCCTCTGACTCAGAATCTCATAGGGGCAGGTATCTTTGTAGCCTCTCTAGGTCCTGGTCTTCCTAGAGCTGTCTAGAGGATGGTTTGGTGTGGCTGCTCTGAAGCTCACATGCATGGAAGCGATTGGGCGTGTGTGTGAGGCTATTTGGGAGAGAGTTATCTTTATAAAAAGGCCTACCACTGACTGGGTTTTATGTGTCCTGCCCACTGTTGTGTCCCTGCCCAGGTCTGGTGAAGGATGCAGCCAGGCCAGCGTACTGGGTTCCTGACCATGAGATCCTATACTGTCACAGCTGCCGGAAGGAGTTCAGTGTCAAGCTGTCCAAGCACCACTGCCGGGCCTGCGGACAGGGCTTCTGTGACGAGTGCTCCCACGACCGTCGGGCTGTCCCTTCTCGTGGCTGGGACCACCCTGTCCGAGTCTGCTTCAACTGCAATAAAAAGCCCGGCGACCTTTAACCCCAGCCCCCCTCCGGGTCCTTCACAGCTCCTTAGGTTCTCAGGGTTAGAAACAGTCTCGTCGAGGTAGGCCCTCCTCCCGCTCACCTGCAGTGCTACGTGTCCCCCTCACCTCATCCCTGGGTGGGGTGGGCCTGGTGGTGGGCCCGAAGCCGTGAACTCCACGGGGCCAGCTCATGGCAGAGGGGAAAGAACTGACTCTGACATGTTTATTTCAGCTAACAGTAATGAATACATACATGTGCATACACCTCTCCATATATACATGGACAGGCCTGGTGTGCAGGGCGCCCTGCCAGCTTAGCTGGACACTGGGCATGGCCTGGCCCGCTCTGGGAGTCAGTGGCAATAGCAGCAGGTCTTCCTAAGCCAGCTGAGCCTGAGTCCTAAGCCTCTCTCTGGCCTCAGAGCTCTCCACTCGCCTCTTCCCACTGCACCTCCCAGCTGCCTAAGGGAAGGGAACCTCCTGGCACTTCTTGTTCCAAACTGTCTGAAGGGAACTAGCTGGGTCCTCTGGGAGGTGAAGCCCAGTTTTTGGCTCAAGCCTGTTTCAATTGAGACCACCCGACTTAGTGTGCAGGTCACCGGGGTGGTGGAGGTCAGGTCTTTAGCCCTGAGAAGTCCAAGTGCAGAGGAGAGCAAGGAAGGGGGTTCTGCCAGTACTCCCTGCTCCTGATGCTCTGTCTCCACTGGGCTTTTCCACTCCCTCCAGCTGCCATCCGCTTCTGTGTGTCGCACTAGGACTTTTATCGCTTATTTTAAAGTGTCTTAATTCTTTGTTCCCAGACACACAACCCTTCTAGCTGTTGGAGGGGTGATCGTGAGAAACCTTCCAGGGAAACAGAGCACAGAATGGACTGTTAGTTGTTTTTTAAAAAAGCATATAGACACATTTCAACAGATCATAAAGAAAAAATTCTATCTCTTCGGTCCTTGCGAGAGAAGTCAAATGAACTTGGTTTCTCCTCATGCGCTTGGACGTCCATATCCGTTGACTGGAAAGAGACTGTTGTGCTGAAATCCTGTCATCGTGGTGGGTTTTTTCTTCAGTGGCCAAAAATGAAGAATTACAAGCATAGTTCTTGACTGAACTGTGGGTGGGTGGAGCTTCCCTGGTGCAGGGCAGTTGGTTGTCCTGGCGCAGACATCAGTGTGATGTGGGTCTTGGAGGGTGGTCCTGTTCAGACCTGCCCTGGACCCAGCGATTCTAGAACTATGTATCATCAGCTCGCCCTCATAAAGGAATCTTCCTGCCGAACATGACTGCGTCTCCTCCTTCTAGCTCCGTCATAGATGTCTTGTGGATGGCGGCATTCAGAGTAGATGCTGAGTAAGGGGTGTTTCCAGGATGGTAATATTTTATCCAGAAATACTTCCATTTATTGCTCTGACAAGTAAGAACCTCTAAAAGAAAAGGCATAGCCAAACCATGATCATATAGCATGGGCTTTAATCTCATGACAGCAGACTGTACCCCACTCGTAGATGGTAGCATACCCTGACCAGTTGCTGCTGGCCCAGAACTTGGGCTGTCACGACTGTTCCTTTATTGAGTGGGCTATAGCTGAGGGTCATGGATCTCTATCTGGTGTCTAGGGGTCTCCATCCATTCCCACTCATTCCACTGTGGTCTTGTCCTCATTGCTGTCCCTGACCTACCCATGGTGGGGTGGGAGCTGCAGACAGGTTGGGCTTTGCATGCCTGGCCCCGAATGCTGGCAATTTCCCTGCCTAGGCTCTCGTGTTTCATCTGGTAGCCTTTAGACCATGGTCTGTGGGGGACTGCTTGCTCACAGTGAAGGAGACCGGTGTTACTCCTGATTTGCATTTTCTGGGTTTAAAATGGTCTTGGAGGGTGGTCCTGTTCAGACCTGCCCTGGACCCAGCAATTCTAGAACTATGTATCATCAGCTTGCCCTCATAAAGGAATCTTCCTGCCGAACATGACTGCGTCTCCTCCTTCTAGCTCCGTCATAGCACCTTATTCTACTATTGACCTGTGGAAGCACTGACGAAAACTTGTGTTTTGCCTTTGAAAGTGGCCCTTCCCTCGTCACGTCTCCCCCCGCCTTGTCTGTGACCCGCTGTCACTTCTCTGTGCCACTGGTATGCTGTCGTGGTCCTTCCCTCCTTCCCTCTCATCTTTCTCTCTCCTGCCCCCGTCCCTTTTGCCCTTCTCTTCTCATTTTCTGGGCGAATGGGGAGGGCTTGGGGTGGGGAAGAGGCGAGAAGTGTGGCTGTATTAGACCTGATTGTTGTGCCACCATGCTGGGGCACTTGTATTCACTCAGTGGTCTTCTGTACTCCCTTCCCCACTAGTCAGACCAGTGAAGGACCAGAAGGGTACTAGTGGCAGGTTAATGGGAGTTCTCGTTCTTGTTCTATGCACATCACATTCCAGCCTCAACTAAATATGGGATGAAAACCAGCTAAATGTGGTTGAAAAGAGACTTAAAAAACCTGCTGCGTTGTCACACCTCTACTCTTTAGCTTGATTGGTTTCCTTGAGGCAAACACCGCATAACCAAGCAGCACCCAAGTGTAGAGAACTGGATGTGGCTGTCCTCACACTCTCGGGCCCTCCCCCACCAGGGGTAACTGCTGTCCCAATGCATGGTAACACCATCAGTCTCCCTTCCTTTTTAGGGGGTATTTTTATCACTTTCTGGTTTAAGAGACTTGCTTGTTGGTGGAGAAGGTGAACAACTCTGTGCTGTGACGAGATGTTCCAGTTGTGACTGAGAACCAGGGTCTCTGGAATGGTCGGACCCAATGGGATCCTTCTGCAGCCCTTAGGTTGAACTCTGTTGCTCTGACTTACAGGTGCCTGACCTTATGCTGGGAGCTTTCTGTGGCTGATTCTTATACCTACATTGGAGGCAGGCAGTCGTGATCCTGTTTGATAGGGAAGATGCTGACCTGGAGCATTAGGAAGCCCAGCATTGCCTGGCACCCTCTGGGCTGCCTCTAAGCTCAGGCGCAGATGGCTCCAGGGCAAGGGCTCTGTGCTGCATCATGCTGTAGAGCTGCCCTTGAGTTTCCGTTCCCTGTACAGCCTGTGAATTCCTTTGCATTTCTAGTCAAAGGCATGTGAGAAATCCAAGTGCCTGCTACTGTTGTCTGGTGGGTTTGGCTTTGTGGCTCATAATTTCCTTCGTTTGCAGAGCTCGTGGCAATGAGACCCTCGCTATGAGCACCAGGTAACCTGGCCGGCTGGACCCCTCCACGAGTTGGTCTAGTGACAAGGGAGCTGAGCCTCTGGCTGTTAGGAACATCCTGGTTTCATGGGAGTTCTGCAGCCATGTCGGCATTTTCCATTTCAGAATTGCTGTCTCTGAGGGAGAGGTGAACCACAGTGGCTTGTGCCTTCTTGTCTTGAACAGGATTAGTTGCTGTGTGAAATCAGGGCTGTCTCCTAGCTGTTCAGTTGCACCTGGTGTCATTAACAGACTTGTGAGCTCTGAAGCCCTTGTGGTGGGTGTTATTGGATTAGAGGGTCTGATGAATCAACAGACTTCTGGGCCCATCCTGATGCCCCCATTTGCAGACAGCATGTGCTCTGTGCCCATAGCCCTCCGGCAAGATGCTGACCCTAAGTGATGTCGTCCACTGCTGCCTTGTGCTCCGGTGCCCTGTGTTTGGAGCCCTCTGCAGTATGCTAGCCCTGGGCGATGCCAACTGCCACCTTGTGCTCCTGTGCCCTGTACTTGGAGCCCTCTGCAGGACACTGGCCCTGGGCGATGTCCACTGCCTCCTTGTGCTCCTGTGTCCTATGCTTGGAGCCCTCTGCAGGTCACTGACCCTGGGCAATGTTGTCCACTGCCACTTCATGCTCCTGTGCCCTGTGCTCGGAGCCCTCTGTAGGACACCAGTCCTGGGTGATGTCATCTACTGCTGCCTCGTGCTCCTGTGCCCTGACTTGACCTCACTCCATCTGCGCCTCCAGCCTCATCCCTAGACCCTATGATGTCCCAGATACTATGATTCAGCCACAGCCCAAGTGGGATCTGGTTACCACGTCACTGTGGTGGCATGTGGCCTGTGTGCTGCTGTTCAGCACGTGGCCTCGGCAGAGCATCCTCAGCATCATAGCACCTGCCTTATTCCCAGGAAGTCAGAGGCACAAGTGGGCAGTGAGGGAGCAAAGAGGGAGATGCAGGCATGAGAGGGTCCACGGAGTCCCCAGGCCAGAAGGGATCTGTGGGAGGCAGGCGGCTTGTCCTAAGAAGGAAAAAGGAGGCTGTTGAGCTGGACCCAAGACTGTGAACTTGCAGAGCAAGGGTGAACATCTCTCTTCCACACAAGGTTCCAGTTGGTTCCTGGGCTCCAGGAAGAGTCGTGGGCAGAAGACCCTGCACAAGTGACTTTCCAGAGTCCCAGTGTTGTTTTCAGTAAGTGGGAAGCCTCCTTCATAGGGCTGGAAGGAAGAACGGAAAGGATTGTTCACTCAGTGTTCCAGTGTCTGGTCGCATCGATGCCAAGAAACTCAGCTTTCTGGAGGTTCTTTGGGCTGAGCTTTCAGCAGTGGATTTTCCAGATGAAAGAGTAGACAGAACTTTGAGCCGAGGCCCAGGTCAGGTGCTGTGCGTATGGGACTCAATGGACACTGGGTGTCCTGGAGGCAGAACTGGGAACACAGCGGCAGATGTATGTCACAAAAGGTCGAGGCCCAGGAAGCCAGTGGACACAGGGATTGTCTAGAAAGATCACTCCTGTGGCTGTACAGTGGGTGGGAGCTGGGGCCACACTTAAGTGGGATCAGATCCTCCTGGCAGCATATGTAAGTGGAGAAATGCAAGAAGCAGCAGAGTTAGCCCGAAAGTGTAGTGGAAGATGTAGACCAGGACAGATCTAGGCTGACAGGTAAAGGGGGACTTGGAAAAGGATGCCTCTGTGGACCCTTGTTGGTGGTCACCTAGGAGGCTGCCAGTGCCCTGTGGGGCCAGTGAGTTCTACGGTGTCCACAGCTACGTGGGAGTGTGTGTTCTCTCCATTAAAAGGCTGTAAGCAGCAGGTGCTGGGTCAGTTAGCAAGATAGTGCCGTTGTCACTGTCACCTGGGAATGGGCAGAGTGCCCTATTAGACCTGAAAGTGAGAAATGCTTAATCTTCATGACACCATGTTAAGCAAACAGGCTGGGCATTGTGTAATACACCTATAATCTCAGCACTTTCGGAGGCCAAGGTGGGAGGATCATTTGAGGCCAGGAGTTTTGAGACAAGCCTGGACAACATAGCAAGACCCCGTCTATACAAAAATAAAAAATAGAATAAGTAAACAGACCAAAATGTTTAATCAGCTTTTCGGCCAAGGTGAATCCTTTTCACACACACTGGAGCACGGGTGTAGATGCTGTGACTGCTGACAAGTGTCATGACAGCTCTTTCCTGGCCACCTCTGAGTGGCCTGGAGGCCAAGGCAGAGGCTCAGGTGCTCAAGTTGGCTTTGCCTGTAACCCCTGCCGTGGCCACGGCCATGGCCATGGCCAAGGCATCACTGCAGGTGTTCTGGGTCCTAAAGGCTTTCCGAGAGACCCTGGGATCCAACCTCATCCATGGCCTGGCATGTGGGGTTTCCAAGGTTTCAGGTGGCCCGAGTGTCTGCGTGCTCACGCCTCACAGTGACAAGTGCATGTCCCATTGGCAGGCCCTTGTGCTGAAAAGCAACCTAAGGCTGAGGACAGGAACGGGAGGGTCAGCCTCTGAAATGGACAGGGACCCCACAGGGATGCCTTGTGCTATGTGGTAGTTGAGGACGAGGGCAGAAACTCTGAGGCCATGGATGCTACAAAAGACTTGGTGTGTCTCAGGTGCAAAATATGTTTAAAAAAGAACAAAAGGCAAGGTTTAAATGAGAGGTTCTGAAGGGCTTTGATTGGTGGCCTGTCTAAGCAGGATGGGTGGATCACGCACAGCACAGGTGCTGGAAGTGAGGGTGTGTGGGACAGGCTCACTGCATATGCTGGGAGTGAGGAAGGCATGTGGGGTGAACCCCGTCAGGCTCACTGCATATGCTGGGAGTGAGGAAGGCATGTGGGGTGAACCCCGGCAGAAGTCACCAGTGCTCCCTCACCTGGGGACCATTTTCAGTCAGGGAGGGAGAGTAGGCCAAGTGGTCACTGTGGCCCAGAGCTCTGATGAGGTCAGTGCAGAATGTTGGAGAATGCGCTGTCTGGATGTGCGGCACCAGGAGTCTGAACTGTAGGTCCTGAGACCAAGTCCCTGTGTTGTCTGTGGCTTGAATTTTATGGGGACAAAAGTGTGGATGTTGGGTCATGGCTGAGCATTTACTGTGATTGCTGGTGCCCTTGGCCATGGCACGTCATGAAACTTCATCCAAGACCCTACAGTGGCCTGGCCTCTCAGGAGCCTGTGGGCATATCAGTATGCCCAAGCTACAGGGACACAATTCAGATGACACACGAACTGTGGTAGCAGCAAGCATCTTACCACCAGTGAGTGCCAGAAAAGTTCATGTGACTAAACATGGGACATTACTCACATCTATATTCGTACCAGCCACATCAAGACACCCCCCACAGCACTGTGGCACACAGGACACTGGAGGACAACCTCGTCTTTCCTTCCAAGTCCCAACACTTCACGTAACAAGTCTGGGCCAGGCGGACCACTGAATGTTGGGCCTTATTAGGTTCTTTATCTGTAAAGTGATGCGATTTTGTGACTACTGCCATCCTGCATCACAGGATAGGATCACATCTAATGAGACAGGGAAGTTCTTTATAAAGCATGAGATTATCAGATAACCAATTTGGTATTCATATCCTTTCCTCTGACTTGGTTCTCAGCACACTAAGTTGTGTTTATCAGGGCTTGGTCACAGCCACCCAAAGCAGAATGGGAGCCAGAGCCAGAGCCAGAGCCAGGGAGCAGTCAGCTTGCCCCCCCATCATGGCCTTTGGTTTCAGGTGGTGCTTCCCACAGGTGAAGCCCATCTGGCCTCCATGAGGCCAGGGTCTTGGGGCACACACAGAGCAGGTTGGAGACATAGGAGGGAGGGAGGGCGTGTCCAGAGGGGCACCCTGAAGATCCCTGAGACCACCCCAGGGTTCAGACATGACTGCGGCTGCCCTATGTCATCACAGAAGTGACTTGTCACACTATGGTTTTTTCTCTAGTTTATTATTTGGTAAAAAAACAGGCTCTTGAACACTGAACAGATATCCCACAAACTCTTGCTCCTGGATGACAAAAAGTCAAAGCCAGTTTACTCTGACACCAGCACTCGAATCTGGCATCCAAGTTGCAAGAACATAACTGGCCACCCCCTACCACTATGGAAGGTGCCTTGGCAAAGGCATGGCATGACCGCTTACAACTGCTGGTATTTAGAGACCCACCTGTCCCTCCAGTAACTTCTGGGGATTCACCAAGACAAGGAAGTAGGTACCTTTTATAAAAAGGACATTCAGGCTCTTTGAGCCTACAATTGAATGAAATAATTTAGCATCTCCACATAAGACAATAGCCTGCAGCTCCTGAGGCTGGGTGGCTGGAGTCTCGTTAGACATGGCTCTGCCCTGGACTCCCTGCAGAGCTAGCTGTAGGAGAAACAGTAGAGGTCCTGCTGGACTGCCATGAGCAGCCCTGGTGCACCCCGGAAGCCCCCCAGCCGAGAAGAGAAGGCCACGCTGGGAATGTCGGCCTTGGAGGCAGGGTGTGGGGAGGGGATGGTCCTGAGCAGGCGGGCGTCATGCAGGCTCCATATTCGCGTGTAGCAGTCCTGGCCCACTAGACAGAGGGAGACATGTTGGTTAGTGGGAGAATGCAATGGGAGACTTGCACACACAGGGACATGGCTTCTCGTGCGGCTATTGACCTGAATGCCAACTCATGAGCAGCCAGTCTCTCTACTGATAATGCAGGCTGCCCTGTGCCAGAACCACAGCAAGTCAGCTGCGGGCATTGACGCAGGCTGTGGTGGTTCAGTGGGTGCCAGGGCGATGGCAGGGGATTCTGCTTCTGGTGTCAAGGAATGTCATGCAGGAGCCTAGTCACTGGTCTAGAGTACAGCTACCAATCTGCGTCCTATGAACTAGAAGCTGGGAAGACCTGCAGACCACATTCCATCTGGGACAGATCAGAGTGTACTTGGGTTTAATGGCCCAGCTCCTGGGACGACCATTTCCAGTCCCCAGGGCTCCAAGTTCTGTGGAATGTGACCCTCGCCACCAGGCCTATGGCAGCCCAAACATGTGTATGCTCTTTTGGCAGGGGGCAGTGGCTGTGGGCAGTCACAGATTTGCATTTGTGCTTTGACCCGAGTGACTCCCAGACCAAGGCCGCCAGTTCGGCTGAGGCCAATAATTGATTACAGCCGTGACCACCCACGCCTGCCTCTGCGGGGGTTCCCGCCTCCTCTGGCATCCAGCACACAGCTCTTCCAAGATAAAAATATGTAGGCTGCAGACTCCAGAAGGAAGCTAGTGCTGGTGTTGACGAAGATGATCATGTCTCAGAGAGGTCTGTCCACAGGCTACTCCCCAGGAAAGCACCTTCTGTAGGAATACTAGTGACTCTTAGGGCTCCTGATGACCACGAGCATGTCCCTCGGTTCAAGGGCCTGCTATTTCACATGTGGACACGCCGGTCCTGTAGGTTGCCAGCCTGCCACAGCCCAGAAACAGCAGCATCTGAACAATGGATAAACCTGCTCCAGGGGTTCTGGCCAGATCTGCTCCTGACCCACAGGCACTCAGGAAAGAGGCTGGGGCCCAGTAACATTACACTGACTGCAACTGCTTTCTCTGTATCCCCAGAGGACACTGTAAGCAGGATGAGGGGGGTGCCAGCAGGTGAACAGGCCCAAGCACCTCCCCTGCTGGTCCAAGTGATGTCCACCCACTGATGGAGACAGGCTGCCCAGCTGGTGGGTATTGGGTCTGCTGCTTGCCACCACCCAGCTCTGCCTCCCTCTAGTCTCCCCCACCCACCTGTCCACACTTGATTCCATGCTCTTCTGGAGTAACAGCATCTCTTGCCCCCCCCACCCCTTGGCTGTTCACACTGCCGGGCTGAGATGCTATCTGATAAACAGTGTCCTCTCCTCAAGTACCTGCCACCAGGATGCCTTCTTCCTCATGCACGTGCAGGGGCAGGTGGGCATACTCATTCACGTGGCCCTTGTACTGCCTGACACACTTCGTGGCCCTCAGGTCCCATAGCCTGATCTGTGGGGAGAAGCACGAAGGGGCTGCGAGGAGAGGCTGTGGGATGGGCCACGGAGAATAGGTGACCTGGGTATGAAGCAAGGCAGGCACGGGATCTCCAGGGCCTTCCGGGTCAGGTCTGTGCTGCCTCCCAAGCCCTAGCATGCATCCACAGCATGTGACCAGAGAACCCTTCTCAGGCCAGCCTGGCTTGCGTGGGCAGTCCAGGAGCCTGGTGGGAGCCCATGGCGTCGTCTTGGCTTCTTTCCCACCTGGTGGCCTGGTGCAAGGGCTCCTCCACCGAACCCTTCACCGCAGAGCTTGGGATGGTGTGGCTGAGTCAGGCCTCCTACCTTTCCGGCCATGTCCGAGGCCATCAGGCACTGCTCCCCCTGGAGGATCCGCACTGAGGTCACAGCGGAATCATGGAATAGGCGGGTGGCCTTCCACCCCTTGCCTTGGTTCCCACAACGCAGGTCAATGGCAAAGATCTCCCCAGAGCGACAACCGTTGAAGAGCAGAGGTGCCTATGGAGGGAGGACTGCTGGGTGCTGGCAACCCCTCACCCCAGGCAGGAGGGTATGTCCTGGGGCAGCCCCTTCCATCGCCATCAGGAGGTGTGGGTGGAGACGTGGAGGGGACACACTCCTGGGGAGGGTGGACGAGCAGGACCTCAAGCCCTCCAGCTCCAGGCTCTTCTCTTTGGGGACACGCAGGTCCCAGGAGCAGCTTCCAGCTGCAGGCACCTTTGGCCTTTCTCTTGGAAGCCCTAGGGATAGCACTGTCTCCATCAAGGCCTGGAGTGACAAGCATGGAGTGGGAGAGACTAGACATCTGGGGACATAGGCCCTGACGGGGAGGCCATGGGGGCCTGGACTACAAACTTCACACTCCTGCAGTGGGTCAGAGCGCCTGTTCCTTGAAAGACAAGTCTTTGAAATGTAGAAATGACCAGGATATAAAATGAACCCTTGAGAGCTGCACAGTAGACTCCCGAGTGCTATGAGTTAGTACCTGACTTGGCAGTTTACAAATGCTGGTCCTGTTGGCTAAATCCGAGGACCAAGCCCTGTTACCAGTGCCTTTGGACAGGAAGGCTTTCCGGGCAGCCTCTTTCCCCGGGCCCAGTTCACCAAGCAACCTGCTGATCTCTTCCTTGTAGAGAGAGGATGAGGTGCCACACAGGAGTCCAATCCCACTCCCTCCAAAAGCCAGATTCTGGCCATCCCAATCAACCAACCGTGACCGCAAACTGCTGGGCCAGGACATCACTGCCAGTGTTGAATGACTGCCGGTGCCCCGTTACCACATTGGTCAGCAGGACCCGCCGGGACAAGCCTGATGGACAGGGAGGGGTGGTGAGGCAGGTTCGTGTCTGGGTAGAGTGTCTCTGGACATGCTTTGGATCTGGCAAACCCTCTTCTGGGCACAGGTGCTGGGCTCACCTGTGCTGAAGCAGTTGCTTGCCTGGGTATTCAGAGACCAGGCACAGGACCAGGCACCAGGGATCCGGAAGCTGCAGAGCATGCCAGGCTGCTCGGTTCCTGCGGAGGGACGGAGGATGTAGAGCCCAGCTGCCCTGTGGCCCACGGGGGCCATGGCTACACTGAAGGTCTACACTATGGCTCCATTCCAGGTTTTGTGGTTGCAAGAGAGACACTCAGCGGGAATGCCTGGCTTGGAGTGGTTATGCTGTGTGTGAGTCATACTCTCAGCATTCCTGGCTGTCGTTGAGGAGGTAGCGTGGTGTCACTGGCAAGACGGTTCAGCCCCAGGTCACCCACCAGTCATGAGACCTTAGGCAACCATTTAAAAGGAATGCCGGCACCAGCAGAACATACATAAAAGGCACAAGCCCAGGGATCAGGGACTATCATGAGTTGCACAGATGTGGCTCCTCACCCAGGCCGGTGAGTCAAAGCAACTCAGCCCCAGAAGCCTCTGTTGCATGCCTTCCCAGCCGCTGCCTCCCCACTGCTCCTCCCCAAAGGGAACTACTATGCCTGCTACCCTAGTTTGCAAGGTGAATTCTCAGCCTCTCTCTGCCTCAGTTTTCTCATTTTAAAATGGCAGTAAGCCATGCTCTGGCCTCACAGATTTGCCATGCAGTGGAACAGCAGCATCAGGGTAAGTGCACAGTTCGTCTAATACTCCCGGAGCTGACAGGAAGTCTTTGGACAGGAAGGCTTTCTGGGCAGCCTCTTTCCCCAGGCTCAGATGTTCACCAAGCAACCTGCTGGTCTCTTCCTTGTAGAGGGAGCAGGAGGTGCCACACAGGAGTCCAATCCCACTCCCTCCTTCACGTCTGGGTGTGAGGGCAGGGCGATAGTGCCTGGTCAGCCTGAAGCCTGACCTGCACCCAGATCCTGCCAGGGAGGGATCACATGACAGCACCCTCCTGCAGCAGGCGCTCAGTGGTGCTTCCTGGTACTGACAGGCAGGCCAAGCTGGTGCTATGGTCTCTCTCACTGGTATGCACTCTTGAACTGCTCTGGCTGCTGCAGTGACTCAACCGGGAAGAAAGGAGCATCCCTAGGCAGGCCTAAGGATCCTTCCACAGGCCACTGCAGCGGCCCCAACTCCTCTCTGAGCCACCCCATGCCATTCCTGGGAGGAGCCCGCACCTGGGTGACTGTGGACGAACAGTGATGCCGGGAGCAACGTGGCACAGCCCGGAGCCTCTGCTAGCCCCAGGAGGCATAGCCTGAGAAGCTGTTAAGGACAGTTGGCACAAGGTCTCCTTTGGGAGAAGAATGGGCACCTACCCCTCCACACCTGCCCTCCACAGCTGCAGCACTCATAGCAGGCCAGGATGGCACCTGGGCTGTGTGTGCACATGAGCTCTACATTCAGTTTTGAAGAAAAAAAAAACAAACCCCGAGACAGTCACAAGTTCCCTGCCCCCGCCCTCCCCACTCCTCTACCCAGTTGCCCTAGGCCCTTCTAGGCCATGTCCCAATGTTTCCACAACACGTGGTACTTGTCCATGAATGACAAGGTATGGACTAGCACTGCGCAGAGTCCCATCTGCAGTTTTCTGTCACCATGGCCTCCTGATGCACCCGCCACGCATGGTTCCAGCTCTCATCTCAGCTGCTCCTAGCGCCCTTCCCCACCTGGTGCCACCATGCCGCTTGTGGGGCTTTTCTAAGGCGGGGTTTCTGAAACCCATGCACAACTTTCTTTTCTTTTCTTTTTTTTTTTGAGTTGGAGTCTCACTCTGTCGCCCAGTCTGGAG